TTAATTTTCATCGGAGAATCGCCCCTTGAATTTTTTCGGTGTTATTTAGATACACCCTGTATAAGTTGCACTCTGAATATTATGGTATATTTAAATTTACCGCCAAGCGCAGCGTAATAAAGCGACATCTTTTGCATAGTTTTTGAACTACATTCTTAAACCAAAGACGGCTAGCACGGTCATTGAGTTTCTATTTTGTGTTGCAGCTGCTATTTGTTCACACACCGGTTGTAAGATGGCGCCAGTTGCGTTTGGAGCAAGTGATGCTTCCAATGAAAGAAGGAAATAAAGCCTCTTATTTAGTTACTCGTATGAGTATATTATCTAGCCTCCCTGATATTTCTATTCATTTTAAAATAAAATTGGTTATTTCATTTCGTTATTTGCTTATTTCACTCGTATTTATTATGCTACATTCACTTCGGGACACATGGAACACTAGCGACACCCTAGCGGTAAAAACTGTAAAAACTATCAGTAACTTCTGCCATTTTTTTGACAGATTTTGTCAATTTTCACGTATAATTCTTGACTGAATATTGGTGAATATCTGACTTGTAGTTACTATATATATAATATATATATATATATATATCTCTTTTGATGTAGTATTATATATATGCTTTTGATCTTATTTGTCGCATATATTTTATCTATGTTTGTCGCATAGTAGTTTTAAATCTGTTCATTCAGTCATACAACACATACTACAACATACGACTTCACTCGCGAAAATAAGCGGAAAAAGCCTCATTATGTGCAACATTCATGTCACTCATGTCAAATTAGATGATAATAAAAACAACGTTGGAATCGTTGAATAAGAATTACCATTAGTTTTTCTTTCTTCTACCATGTTTTAAATTTATTTCTAGATTCTGTTCGTACTATTCCAATTGAGACAAATTAGTACACTCAAAATGTCAAGACATAGGGACATTAGAAACATGGATTATTCCGATGGTAAGATATTTAATGAGTATACATTATTTTAGTTCTCATTTTATTGTTACTAGAATATGAAGGATACGATGATGTGTATGGACATTCTATAGATGACGATTACTATATATCGCCCAGCAATAGACAATTCTTATATAATAGAGAAAACTCTGCAAAAAATACGGAAGGCGGTATTAAAGAAGAAGATGAAATTGAGGCAGAATCGACAGATTCTGAAAAATCGAGACTTGAATCTTGTATCGAGGAAATACAAAGCATACTGGGACTTATAAATATACCAAGAAATAACTTGGTAGATTTTATACTTGCTCATAAATTTGATATTGAAAAAGTTGTGAATGCTATTTTAGAAGATCCAAGGTATAAGCCATCCGAAGCAGAAAGAAAGGAAAAAGGTGAATTACATATCTAGTTAGAATGTTTAAGAAAATTACCACAAAAATCTTGAAAATGAAGGAATTTTACAATGAAAATTCAATAGCTCGGTTGTAGCGAATGCATTTACTTGATTTGTGAGCAAAATAAAAATTATAGATATAGAGTTTTGTGGTATGCCTTTTTAAGATACACTGTGTATTAAGTGCCTTTCTTATAAAATAAAATTTATGTTTGTTATACAAAATCCGAAATTTACTTTATTGAAATGCATTTAATGCAGTGCCGTATCGAGGATATAACTATCATCGTTTTTGTTTCTTTTTCATGTTCCTTTGGCCCCTTTTACACATTTCGTAAGGTAAGGTGTCACAACGCAACCTAACAAATTTACAGTCCCAAAATTTAACAGTTTAACGAATATAAATCACGATATGTCTGTAAATGAATTTAACGCAACTTCAGAAAACAAGTATTCTTCAGAAATTATTTTGCCATCAAAAAAATTCACTATACCCAAAATATTTGATAAAAATTTAAACCCAAACACCTCGAAAAGTAAACACTTTATTATACCAAAATTGACCACTACAAAGTGTGAATTAAATTTAAATAAACCAAGTTTGCATGTGGTGGATTCAAAGGAAAATAGTAGCGATGAATTCAGTAGTTTGTCAGAATTAGTATCAAACCATTTAACTAAGACGTATGAAACAGAGTTTTTAAAAAATAAACAATGTCACATCGAAAATTTAAACAAAAATGTAAGTAAAATGGCTAAATTGAAGTTGTGCGATGCGAAATCCATGAGTTCCATCGAACACAAATCACCAGTCACAAATAGTTGGCATATTGACTTATCAGTAGCATTGAAATCGACTAATAGCATTCCCATAGTCCCTAATAGAGATCAGAATGACCATTTTGAAAAATTTGATATTCCCTTCGTGGATTGCGATAGACAGAAATTTTTGTCCAAAAATAAAACTCTACTACCGTGCAGCTTTGACATAAGTAACATATTAAAGATCTCATTAAGATATCAAAAGTGTCCCAGTAGCTTCGGTAAAGTATTATGTCTTAATTATACCGGAAGGCCAAAACGTGATATAAAAAGGTTGCACGATCATGTTTATTTAAGCAAAATCAAGAGATTCGATTTTAATAATCCCTCACCCGACGACATTATTAGTTCCCACGTGAGGAGATAGAGCAGAAAAGGAATCCCAAATGTTAAAAAATAACATATCAAAATAGAGGCGGTATATTTTTTAACATGATGTCGATTTTTGAAGAATACTTTTACATATACCAGTACAGGTGTTCATATTGCATTAAACGATTTTATTTTTATCAATAAATTTTGATCAATCCCAGTTTTGATGGTAAAACTAAAACATTAATTCAAAATTGATATTCACAAATAATTTGATTTAGTAATGTATAGGGTTATACTATATATACATCTATTTATACTTAAAAATCCATTATTCATACAGCTTCAAGCGTAGATACTAGTTATATTTTTATTTCGTTTTCTATGCCTTTCTATAAATTGACATGATATAGAAAACATTTTAATTTCTATACTCAAATTTTTATTTGATTTTCAGCAGATTGCATTAACTGGCAGTATTTAGAAAAAGAATAATTGCAAAAATAAAGTTGACATTTAAGAAAAATTTAACAATAGAGTTTTATTTTCAAGTATATTTAGATTGAACCAAGCAATAAAATACTTTATATAAAAATATACATGTGATATGTGATAGTAGTCATAAATGATTACATTTGAGGAAAATTAAATAAAGCAAACCTAGTCCGTAAGGTCTCTGAAAGTACTCATATGCTTATTTTTTCACTTTTGGGATACTTTTGCAATATGCTTATGTGTAAGAAAGTAGTTAAGGTTTTTTTTATGTATTTTATATAATTAGTTATTTCGATAGTTTTTAAATATGAAGAAATACAACTTTTCACTATTCGTGTGAATCGTAATTGTAATACTTGTTTAGTAAATTTAAAAGTACAAATTGTGGTAATAAATAGTACAAAAAAAATCATTAAAAACAAACTAGTCCTAATTAATACGTATATATTTATAAATGTACTTATCCCACCGACGACCATCTAACTGCCAATGCAGAAAGTGTAAAAGTGGTTGCATCAACTCCAAAGACTGCAACCAACGTCACAAAGGGTTTCGACTTGCCTCACAAGGATCTCAAGTTAAGCGTAACGCCTAGATCTCAGTCTCCTTCTTCTGGAAGGGCTACGCCAGTGACTGCGTCTGCTGCCGATGGATTTGATGAATCGCGGACCGGAAAGGTGAGAGACAACAAATTCGACCCTCAGCAGTTGTACAGAAAGGAGAGGGGTGAGGAGAAGGACCACCTTTATATGGTTGTTATCGGTCACGTTGACGCCGGTAAAAGTACACTTATGGGACGCCTTTTGTGTGACTTGGGACAGGTTGGTTTATTATGGTCTGGATGTAACTAAATTGCCTGGCTAAATTTTAACGGTGAATGCTACAGTGTTAAAGTTCCAAATATTTTAGTTACGTCCTATATCAAACGTGTACTTAAATAATATGTCATTCAATTCAACTGTGAATTGAAAGAAAATAACAATAAGTTATCGTAAATCTTCAAATTTTTGTACAATAAAACTAAAGTACAAATTCTTCGTCAAAATTTTTTCTTAATTTTCAAGGTGAATCAGAGAATAATGCATAAGTATGAACAAGAAAGTCGTAAGTTGGGCAAACAGAGCTTTATGTATGCCTGGGTTCTCGATGAGACTGGCGAAGAACGAAATAGGGGTATCACCATGGATGTGGGTAGATTTCAATTTGATACAAAAACTAAACGTGTAAGTATAGATTTTTTACATTAACTTATTTGTACCGTTTTGAGTATAGTCATCCTAGCGAATAGTTTAAATCAATTTATGAATATGTTCAAGATGTTTAGGGTGAAAGGTGAGTTAATTGCGTTTTTCTCAATAACATTGCATTTTCAGCAATTTTAACGAGGGTACTTCTTATATCCAAAATGAAATTGTAACATACCGTGTAGACTGTAAAAATCGTAAGCTCGAAAAAGTTATAAAACGTGTTAAAAAACTTTTTTCAATTTTACTTTTGAGTTGAAAAATAGTTATTTTTTTTTACTTTCTCTTAAAAGGGGAAGATATTTATAGCTTCGTTATTTTCAGGTAACATTACTTGATGCGCCTGGCCACAAAGACTTCATCCCGAATATGATATCGGGAACGGGACAGGCGGATGTCGCCTTAATGGTAGTTGACGCGACGAGAGGAGAATTCGAGACGGGCTTCGATTACGGAGGACAAACCAGAGAACACGCTCTCTTGGCGAGATCCCTTGGGGTTACGCAGCTCGCAGTCTCAATAAACAAGCTAGATACCGTGGCCTGGTCCCGGGAGAGATTTAACGAGATTGTTGCCAAGTTGAAAGGGTTCCTTAAATTGGCCGGATTCAAGGAATCCGATGTGACGTTCGTCCCCTGTAGTGGGCTCACGGGACAAAACTTGGTCAGTAAACCCACAGAAAATAGCTTATTGTCTTGGTACAACGGGCCCTGTTTACTGGATGTTATCGGTAAGCTTCTTACAATTCTTCTATTGTTATGAATTGGTTACTTTTTTTTTTTTTTTGTTTAGATAACTTCAGGTCTCCTGAGCGACCCATTTCAAAACCTTTCAGGCTCTCCGTTAATGATATATTTAAGGTGAGTTTAAGTTCAAATATGTGCAGTAAATTGTAGACGACGTACATGTCCAATAAATTAATAATTGTCAATCAAACTTTTAGCTTCGCATTTTTTAGTAATTTTTGAACTCTGGTGTGCAGTTTTTGGAAAAATGTTTGATACATGAGAAATTCTTTTCCATTCTCGAATGATTTTTTCATTCTCGAATGCAAAAATTTCGCAATCTAGCATAAAATATAACTATTTAAACATTACTTGGTAAATTTCAAATAGAATAATAGCTGTTACAGATCTGAGTAGTTCAAATGGTTCAACCGCGGATATATTGATTTATGCAAATAGAACCACGTGTAAAATTTCACATGGCAATTCTGTTTCTAATAGTTTGTGAAATATCTATTCACTAATTTAAAAAATGGCTGCTACGTAATAATGGAATTTAACTTAAATGTCAAAATTTTTTTTTATAAGTACGTGCAATGAAATTCCTTGTCAAATGGATAAAAGAAAAAATGTATTAGGAACGCTGAAAAAGATCCTACAATAATAACAAAATATACTGTTATGCATGTCGAAAACTTAAATACACACACGGCCTTCATAAATGATTACAAGACATGTGACCGGTGATTTTGCTTGAAACGGTAATATTATTTAATTCACGTTGGTAAAAAAATTACATTTCGGTAAAATTAAAAGTTATTGGAACAATAAGATCAAGGTTGTTAGAACAAAAAATTCTGTTTCACCGACATGTGATTGCTGCAATTTTTCGTGACAATTTATTCAACCAATCAATGATCACCACATTATCTCAAATCGTTAATGTTGATGATGGTAAGATTTAGGGATTCTTAGTTAACAGACAATGCTCGGCGGTCACGTGGCTTGTAATCATATATGAACTCTATTTTACGATATGTATTTTTAATTTTAGGGCACGGGGTCGGCTTTCTGCGTTTCTGGTCGCGTGGAGACCGGAACTTTAAGCGTAGGCGATAAAGTCTTGGTGTGTCCTAATAGAGAAAATGCCACGGTAAAATCTCTTAGTATCGACGAGATATCTAAGACGGTGGTATTTGCTGGCGATCAGCCCACCGTCACATTGTCCGGAATCGAAATGCAAAACGTGTCCGTGGGGAATATTTTATGCGATCCGCAACATCCCGTGCAGGTCGCCTCGAAGTTTCAAGCAAGGATCGTGGTTTTCAACGTAACCGTGCCCATTACGAAAGGATTCTCTGTCGTTTTACACCACCAGTCTTTGGTGGAACCGGCCGTGGTGAGCAAGTTGATATCTCAGCTGAATAAGAGCACCGGCGAAATTCTAAAGAAACATCCCAGGTTCCTGGGTAACAATACAAGCGCCATAGTGGAGGTTCAAGTGTCGAAGCCCATTGCCCTCGAATTGTATTGCGACTGCAAGGAACTGGGCCGGGTAATGCTGAGGGTAGGGGGAGTAACGATCGCAGCGGGACTCATTACTAACATTTTATTGTAAGGTAACTTTAAAGGGATCAATAAAATTTAATAATTAAAGTGCCACGTTATGTTGATTTTTATTCTAAATATAAAAAAGTTGTGTGAATCGGACGTGTACATTACTAACAGCATTAAGTTGCCGTTCCTCGAAAAACTAACAAACTTTTAAATTTAAAATTAGGAAGGACTACTCATCGCTAGAATGGACCAGTGGGATAATGGGTCTTGCATTTCTTTTGGTTCATCCGTACTGGTGGTTGCATCAAAAAAAAATTTTTAAATGTCTTAACTGCTTTATAAACCTTTTCTATTACAATTTAAAAACGTATTAAATAAAATATATTGTAATATTCCGTGATAATTAGTGTTTCTAACGCCACTTCTGATGTTAGAAACACACTAATAATTATCAGCGAATGTTGCAATATATTACTTTAAACAAACACAAGTTTTTAATTTCAAATTTAAAAGTTTTATAAAACACTTAAGATATCTAGTTGACGTTCAAGAAGAATAAAGGTTCGGTGGCAATCAAAAAATCATTACTTAGCGTAAGTTATTCTTTCCCTAGTGTTAAGAAATACCTAAAACAATTAGTGGAAACGAGCATAAGTAGAATTACTCGGAAACTATTGGTTGAAAACTAAATGTGTAGTACATATAAGCTTTGTTCGTAAACCTTCCACTGCTACACTAGTGTAGTAATACGTTGTTCGTTTATTGCAGTGTAGCCAAGTGCAGGTATAATCCAGGTGTTCGAAAAGTCCAGTGTAGTGTAATAGTGCAGACACTACTACACTGGCTAACAAGGTGGTGTAGTATATTTGTGGCGCGAAAATGAAACTTTTATCACAAATGTCACATCTTGGTAGATATTTTAGATAGATCATTACAAATTTGGCAATATTTGATTTTACTCTGAAATGGCTGATAAATTCGTCTTCCTCACAGTTTCGAACAAGTTCTATAAAATTTGTAATGCACTTTCTTTTATTTTTTTTGGAAACAGGTCTCCAATAAAACATGAATATTTCTTTTTTTACGAAGGTAATCATCTGATTCCGATTCGCTTCCAGAGTCACTAAATAATTCACTCATCACAAATATTTTCTCCATGATTTACAATTAGGTTATGCCAGTTTAAGTTTACCCAAATTGAATTAACGAACAGCCAAATGTTTTCTCTAAAAGTGGTGCACAACTATTATTTTAGTGTAACACTGAATTCCACTACACTACACTACTCTACACGTTGTGTAGGTTTACGAACAAAGCTATAATTTAATTGCACAACTGAACTATTCTATATTCAACTGACAAAATTGTCATGGCAGGAACAGGTAGACCGAATGTTACCTTTTAGGCAACCAGTCATACCGCATACCACAGGGACTAGAAATTTCAACATTAGCGCCCTACGGTGGCCATGTACCTAACTAAGGTTTAGTGTATTTTTGGCTGCATAACAAAAATAGTATGTAATATCTTCAACTCTATTATATGTTTTTTGCCTTCTCTTCAACGTTACTTTCCATTATATTTTAAGTGTATGGTATATATATAATACTACTGGCCGGTTTCTTCAGACTCGGTTTAGTACCAGACAACTTTATCCGGCGGTTATCATGAAGGTAGACCTATTTTTCGTTTTCTTCACTTCTGAATATCCTTCATCCTTCAGTTTTCTTAAAGATAACTTTATCTGGTAGTTCAAGCAGCATATAAGCTATTATCTGAAAGACAATTCTAACCTCTTTATAATTTTGGCACCTATATTCATCAAACAATAAAAAAAATGGATTACAATAATTTATTATTTATGGATGTAGAAGTCTTTTCTGATGATGATGACGACTTTTATGATGGAAATTATATAGAAATTCGTCGGCCATACACATTAAGAAATAAACCAAATAACCTGGATGTTTGGGACGATGATGATTTTTTTAGACGGTTCAGATTAACAAAACCTACCGTAAATCTATTAATCATCAGAGTTCAAAATCAGTTGGAAGTGATCTGGAATAGGTAAGTAGCTATAAACTATATCAAATTAAAGAAAGGTAAATAATTAGTAATACCTATACAATTGCATTACTTAGGTCTCGGAGTCTCACACCAATGAATCAACTTTTATTAGCATTAAGATTTTATGCTACTGGTAATTTTTTACGTGCTGTAGGAGATTTTTCTGGTGTCAGTATAGTTACTGCAAGTAGAATCGTGAGGAAGGTGTCAATTGTAATAGCCTCTTTGAGGCCTGATAATATAAAAATGCCTAGAACCCAGCAGGAAATTGAATCCACAAAAAGAGGGTTTTTTGCTATGCATGGATTTCCCCGGGTGGTAGGAATTGTCGATGGAACCCATATCAGAATACAGTCGCCAGGTAAACACTTCTCTAAACACTTTCTCATATTTACTGTAATAAATAATTCTCTTTTAGGTGGCGATAACGCGGAATTATTTAGAAACAGGAAGGGTTATTTCTCCATTAATACGCAAGTTACTTGTGATTTCAACTTAAAAATCATTGATATCGTGGCAAGGTGGCCCGGATCAGCACACGATGCAACAATTTTTCAACATAGCAGTTTGAAAATTCACATGGAACAAAATCGTTTTAATAATGGTATATTATTAGGTGACAGTGGGTACGGATTAAAAAATTATCTCCTCACTCCTTTATTGCATCCAAATATTCCTGCAGAACAGTGCTACAATGAAGTTCATATTCGAACCCGAAATACCATTGAGCGTGTAATTGGAATATGGAAACGACGATTCCCGGTTCTAAGCATAGGCTTAAGATTGAAGATTGAAACCATACAAGACATTATAGTAGCTACTGCTGTGCTTCATAATATAGCAAGGGATGAGAGAGAAGAAGATCCTCCAGGAGAAATAGAGCTTGATGGTGTTTTGGGAGAAGTACCACAACCAATACCTAATTACAATCGCAATAGAATGGACAATGCAGTTAGACAGGCTCTCATTGCTGATTATTTTTCAAGGTAATTTTAAATTCTGTGTTACAATGAAATAATTCACTTTTACATTTTTATAAGTACCTTTATACTTACCTTTTAACCTTGCAATTATTATTTTTTATTGTTTTTAAGGTACAGAAGGAACTAACTTTTGCAGCATAATTGAAGGTTTACCTTTGTGGATTCCATTTGAAGTACATATATAGAGTTTTCGAGAAAATGAATGTTGTTCTGTGATGATTTTATATATTCACATTTTATAGAACTTAAGAACTATAGAACTTGTCATTTATGTAAATAAAAGTTAAAAGTAATAAAATGTACAAAATTAATATCCATTAATTAAACATTATCAAATTAGTCAGTATTACTTTTTCTGTGTATCTTTAGGGAGATTGTGTGAAAATCAAGCTGTTTTTAACTAAAAATTGGCTTACAAGAAATTGATTGCCACAATGTTATCAAAATGCAAATATAGTAGTAGTAAATTCAGTTATGTGTATTAACAAATTCTTATACCTACACTTATCTTTTCCCAAAACAAATTGAGATTTGAGGTGCCGATAAAAAGATATAATTTTCAGTCAACTGACACACATTAGAAAGATGTATTTAAAAGTTTATTAAACTCAACGCTATACCTAACAGAAATAATGAATAAATCGCAATTTATAAGCAAAAAACTGTCAGTCTTTTGTTTCTGTAAATAAATATCTAACATACATTACAAGTAACTGAAGTACCATATTTTGATTTAAATGTTTCACAAATTAAAATTGAAATTCATCCCTAAAATTTTGCAATTTTATATTTTTTATTTCCAAATCTCTTTTGAGATTCTCTATAATAAGTTCATTTATAGCACTTTTCTGAATGATTTCTTGCTCTAATAAAGTTTCCTGCAGTTCCAAAATTTTTTTCTTCGTCTCCACCATTTCTATGCAGACTTTGGTATTCTTTCGTTGTATGGTCCCTTTACTCTTTTTATTTTTGTGCAGAAATTTATTAACACCACTTGCATTAGCTGAAAAATTTACAAGTTTCAGTCAGACTACCTGTGCCTGAAACAAATTACTAAAGTACAACAGTGGTATATTGCCACTCCATTCTACATCGTATTACCACTTATGAAACTGTCACATCCTTAGTAAAAATATTTAAAATGTTAATATTGGTACCTACATTGTGACATGTAATTTTCTTTGTCCTCGGCTCTACCTTTTGGTGGAGGATCTGTTTCATGGACATATTCTATGTGAATCTCTTCTGTGTCGTCTTCATTTATAATATCGGTTTCTAAAGTTGAAAAAAAATACATTATTTTGATGATATGACATTATCTATGTGGTCAGTAGTTACCATTAATATTTATGTTGGTAATTGATATTGCATTTTCCGAGGCGCTTTCATTAAGTTTGTGGGATTCTTCTCGAAGAAAGCCACCAGGTTCTTCTTGAGGAAAGTGATCAGGATCTACAAAATATTACTTTATCGAATGAGAAATATATTTTCTGTGAATAATTAAATATATGGGACCTGCATATATAGACAAAATTTTTAATTACCAATATCATTATCAAATCGAGATGAAAGTCCTAACATTGTTAAGTCGCTGACCGAAAGAAATTTTTCTTCGTGAGGTTTCAAAATAGGACACGTGATAGCTCCACCACCAGTTTTTTTAATTTCTTCTTTTACTTTAGCACACGTTTTCCTCAAATCTTTCTTAAATGTTTCATATTTGGATCGTACAGACTTAACTGATCTGGGAAAATTTCCTGATATAGCGTTGAATTCATCAGTAATTATTTGCCATGTATCATTTTTGTCTTTCCATGTAGTAGCATCTGTACGTTTATTTTCAATTACATGTTTATATTTTAGGGCCAAGTCCACTAAAATCTCAGTCTCCAGTTTTGTAAAATTAGGGCTTCTTTTATCTTTTTCTTTTTCCATTTTAAAGAAATTGTGACTGGAAACTTCATAATATACTGTTATGTATCAAACCGTAACATAAATAACTGTTATTTCGTTTGCTCAATATTACTTACCTACTATTTAAAACACTATCCAAACAAATCTTGCTTGTATTTGTTATTTGAATTTTGAAATAACAACATAACCACAATTTTGGGACTCTGCTTCTTCCTCTAGAAGCTTCAAATGCTACTTTGCAATGTTGCCGCATGTTTTATTACCTACTTTTAGTCTAGATTTTATCCTTGGTATAATTACCTACCTTGCAGACAAATAACTTCCCGGTTTATGTGAAGAAATCCATTTTTTATTTATCTCATAGATAAGTTTATCTGAAAGATAGCTATCAGAGACTTGTCAGATTGTGAAGAAACCGGCCACGTGTATGGACTACCAGCATAAACGCTTGAAGAATTGAGTCCACAATAGCATTACTATCTGTTTATTTATACATAACTCCTTAACTATGTGTTTAACTATCCAATCATATCATCATTTTTTTTTCTGCTTATTTTTAATAAAATTCAAAAAATTTCAAACAGTATTTTTGTGTTGCTAGATTAGACATAAATGAAATTCTGTGATAAATGAGATGAATACAAGACCACTGCTCATTAAATTAAATATTCATTTTTGCCGCGAAGACCCACTTTTCCAAACACTGATTAATTCAGTTATATAATTTTTTTGGATAGCCAATTGGTCTAGTGGTATAATCAATCGTTGCGCAACATTCTTCCACACCACGTAATTAATTGATAGCACTTTCACTAATTCAAAATAAGCACGACAATGTTAAAGGTCGTAGTGCAGATACCCTGGGGTAAGAGGAATCGTGAGATTTGTGATCGTGATGATTATAAAATGCAGTTGGTCTGTACGCGGTCGTTTCCGTGTTTTGACTTTCGTTTTCCCACGATCTGAGACATCACTTATTCCCAAAATTTGAGGTTATTTTTGTGTTCTACAGCTATCAACAAGGTATTCAGCAGGTTGTTCTGTTGGTTGTTGAAAATGTTCACTTTTGATTGAAAATTAATCGAAATTTAGTCGTTTTTTCGTTTGTTAAAATATGAAAAACAATACAGAAACGCCAGATGAAATAGGCGGTAAAATGTATGGGTACGGAAATAGGTAAGTAAATTTTCAAAAGATGATCTAATTTTTTTTATTTTCAGGGAAGGAAACAAAGTGGAAGGTGAGGAATCTTAAATAGGTGTTTATTTTAAAATTGTAATCATATAGGTATTTTAGTAAGCACAAAACCAAATGAATTTAAAAACAGAAAATATTTTTTTCAAGAAAATTTTGTGAATGAATGTGATGCGTTCGTCAAGTATTTTGCAGCTATCAAGTAAATATTCATAAATATTGTATGTAGATATTCATTTATTATTTTTTAGAGATAATGGTGTTATGTTGCATATAATCAGAGATATAAAAAATATGGGAGACTATTGTGATTTGTTCAACAATGTAAATAAAGATTTTTACAGAGAATCGATCAATTTATACAATGACTCTATTCCTGCAGATGAGCTAAACGGGAACATACTATATGCCTCGAAACTCGTAAAACTAATGTAAGTTTTCATTAATCCCTTATATTTTAATATTTTTCGTTAAATAAGTACCTACTTTGTTCGCAGTAACTCCCCAGACAAAGGAAGATGCTTAGTAGCCAATGCTGTCATACCCAAAAATAAAACTTTAATATTTGAACCACCTACAGTTGTACAGGTTAAACCTCTGTGTACCTGCGTAGGAGATCGAGAATCATCCCTGTATAGATGTCATAATTGTGGGGTAGCTTGTAAGATGTTCTTCACGTAAGTCAAGTCCTTATTTAATTTCATAACTTTGTACATAATTAGGTAAATTTGCCAATTTCTTATACAGGTTATCCCAGAAAGGTTGATATAGATTAATTTACTTATGTACAGGGTGAATCGGGAGAAACCCACCAAACTCCAGGAATGGCTTTTACACGTCAAAGGAATAAGAAAAAACTCGAATGTTGTGGGATTTTTATTTGTTTTTAAGGTATGACGTACATTTCAATAAAAAAAAAATATTTATTAAATTCTCTTAATCATAATGTTCTTTGAAAACAAATGAAATTTGCATAACATTGAGTTTTTTCTTATTATTTTGACGTTGAATCCATTCCTGGAGTTTGCAATTCTCCTGACTTACCCTGTAGATGTAAAAGTCAACGCCTACTGAGATATAACTGTCTTAAATTAGCTAAGATACAGGATGTTCGAGAATTCTGGTCTTATATAAAATATGTTATAAAAATATAAAAAATGATTTTTAATTGTCATTTTTGAAAAATGACAATTAAAAAGCCCACTTTTAACAGTTTTGTAGAAAAAATAGTGTATGATATACGTGTTAAATGTAAGATTTTATTTTGTGAGTGAAGATGATTAAAAAACGAGCGTGGCGAGTTTTTTAACTTCACGAACAAAATAAAATCACTTTTAACACGTATATCATAAATAGCTATTTTGGCAAAGTATTGGAGTGGGGATTTTTTCTTTCATTCTTTCCGAGGTATTACCTCTAAAGTGAATTTTAAGTTTCTTATGAATTCCACAATATTAAATAAAAATTGTGACGATCATAGAAGGAAATTTGTCATTATAGTACCGAATCCATATTATTTACTGAAATTTCTTAAAACTTTGTAACCTTGTATTTAAAAATATGTAAATTTCAATGAATAACCAGGGCTACGTTTTATTTGGAAAACTTAATGTTTCCAAAACCTTCGTGCATGCTATAATTTTTTGTAGATGTGACGGATGTAACATATGCGTATTTTGTTCAAGAGCGTGCATGATGTACGCTTACACCAATTACCACCGTTATGAGTGTTATGGCCTGCAAAGACATTTTTGGTCAATGGAGGACACAGACTATAGTTATTTATCGTTCAGAATGATGTTGTATGGTGCTAGTAAAAATTTTAGAAGTGATTCCACTGTCGGTCAGTGTTACGGCGATATTGATAACAACTACCCCTTTTTGTACATGCTGGAGACAAATTTCCATCAACTTGGTATTGCCAAAGTTAATGAAATACTGTATGTAAGTATTCTTGAATATGAACTCTGTGTCCTTTGAAGAAAGTAATTTATAGAGCAGGATGGAAAATGGGGTTTTATTTAAGAAGTTGTTGTTTGTATAATTTTCTACTACAGTGTGGACTATTAAGAACAGTACACCCATCTAACATTTTTTTTGTGCTCCGTGTTTTTATTTTATTTTTTTTATAAATAGTAGCATTGTAGATATAATTATTTTCTGGAAGTCGATTCTCCATTATAATTTGATGAAATTTGAAATAATGGTATTAAGTGATCTGATTAAGGCTACATAGCTAGCTAGAGTTTTAATAAAATCCCTGAAGGTATTGCCCAAAAAGATCTCTTTAAAAAGAAATGATGGCGCCTCACGGATTGCCAACTGAATCATAATCGGTTCAACAAGTACATCTAGAAGGCCTCTATAAAAAATAATCATTTGAATTGTGCATCCTGTAAAGAATTCAGAGGCGCGTCTAGTTCTTAATGGACATCACACCATTTTCTAAGAGCAGAAAATCGTAGTCCTAATGTTATTCATAACTAACTTTTTTTTTTTTATTTTAGAAGTCTTCAAAGAATTTGATGTACTTGATAATGAAAACGACATTTTTCGATATATTCAAAGACCAAAGAGCAGATATCCACGATTTGTATTTATACATTGGTGGTCTTTTGGTCAAACACTACTGTCAGGCCCAAACCAACAATATTATCCTGAAATATCCGAACTTGTCAACTGGTTTTGGAATAAACGTTGTAAGTGGGACGGGAAAAGCCATCTGTCCTACAGTTGCGCTCCTCAGTCATGCTTGTTCCCCAAATGCCGTTGTTCTGTAAGTGGTAAATAATTTATGTCAATTAGAATATAGCAAAAAACCGTAGCGCATTAATTTTTTAAATACAAACGATTGCAATTATACTATATATAAAGTAATTTTGAAAAACATTGCAAAAAAAATTCACATTACTAATATTCAAACACAAGTGTACAACCGAGCCCATTTTGGAATAAATTAAGTGACTTAAAGCCAGATATCATATTTCGCATAAGAAAAATCTCAAAAGGGATGTTCTGAAAAGTCATTTAAGAAAAACATTTTCCCCCCACATAATGTTATACGCTGTATGGGCCGTTGGATATAATTTGATTAAAACCACTTTCAGAGTATACTACGACTCTGTTGCTGTGAAAAGTATTAAACCCATTAGGCCGGGTGAGGAGATTACCATATGCTACAAGGAAGTCGATGCACTGTTAACGTTATCCGAGAGGCGAACGATCACAGAAGAAATATTTAATTTTACGTGCAAATGTTACTTCTGTGAATATGAACGTTATTGGGTATGATGAATGAGTAACTTTATTACCTGTTCATTTGTAAAGTAACGCGTCTTTTTAGATAGAAACCCCTTACAGATGTCAAGTGTGCAGTGTCGGTAAAGCCAAGAAAATCGACCTAGAAAATGGCAAAGTAATGGGGTACTGCATCAGGTGTGAGAGGTATTTTAATTTTGACGTGATATTAGACAACCTGAAAGTTGCCACCATCTGCCAGAATTTATGTAAGTAAAATTATAGTAATGCCTTATAATTTTTTTGTTTGTGAAAATAATTCACGTTTTGTTTCGATACCAACGTAAACTTCGGAAAATGTACCTTTCCTGTTTCGTCGAGGGTTTTGTAAGTAGTACTTAGTAATTGTGATTAATTTGTGTGTTAATAGTTCCTTAACGGTAAGCATTCTGTGCGGTGTGATTATGTTTATAATGAAATATGCGAATTTGTGTATGTTCGAGAGGCACGTAAAGTTTGTAAAACTTGCACCCCGAAAAAACTTGTATAACTGGTATAGATAGGGAGGAGATGTTGTTTCTAACCTGTTTAGATTTTCTAAAACTCTCGACAAAACACTGCCATGAATGAATTAAACTTTACGCATTAAAAATAAAGTTTTGTAAATATGTAGTATCCTTCTCATTGTTCTCAATATTCTAGATAAGGCCACATTTGCTATCGACCACGTTGTTAGACTGGCGGAATGTTACAGCAAAATATTCCCCTCGAATTCGTGGAAATTGCTGGACATTTACAAACTTTTGTATGAGAAGCACGTCCTCGGAGAAGGTAAGACCGATGTCGAATTGGAGTAAATCAAACTTTCATTCAATTTTCTCTAGAGAAACCTTTCGAAGTTATGAAATATGGACTGCTGACATTCAGCATTCTTGAGCACTACTTATCAAGGTTGTATGTGCCGATTCTGGTGGCCAAAGTCAAATTTGTGTCTCGAGTGCTGAATATGAGGAGTTTTGAGAAACTAAAGAATGTGTCAGAGGATCAGTTGTAAGTAAAATAAATAAGTTGGTGTGTTTATTATAACTTTGATTTTATTTCAGAAAATTACTGTGGGTATCTTAAAAGTTGGGTAGATCGAACCATTGGTACTCTTTTTCTTTTGTTCTGTCGAATGTGTAGTTCAGGCATTTCTTTCTCCTAAAAACGAATATACTTTTGTAATTACAAGTCACTTTTCGTTCCCATCTTGACGACGATGTCTGGGTCGTCTGTTGATGATTTAACACTTACGGGAAATAGCTATATTTATCACATCCCGTTACGGGGAATTCATTCTTGTAACACTGGGTCCCTAGAGCCGTAAAATATAAATTACCGACTTGCCCAGATGTTGCCGATTTAACCGTTTTTAAACATTGATAAAAATCCCTATCGCACTTGCAGTTTAGCCTAAAACAGAAAGTAATGGACGGCCTTAAAGGGGACAAGTTGTTTTATAGAACCTTGTATAGAACGAGGGATTAGTTAAATTATATCTCGTTTGGAAACCTTCAATGATATCTGGACAGTAGTCGTGATTCCTACAACACTTGTCGGTGTCTCTGTGAATCCCAAAATCATCGTCACTTTCCGCGATATTACCGGCCCCGCACCATTTCGTTCCTAAAAGTTTGCGATAAAATGAAAACAAGTTTGATTATAAAGGATAACTTATAGTTAATTAATTGAATTTAAATTACTTGGTAAAATACTCTTTTCTTTTGTGAAGAAAAACTGATAATCGACTGGAATAATATATTTTGTGTTCCTATTTTATTTAATACAGTGGTTTAAAAAATTTTTCTCACCTGGATAGATAAAAAATCGGTTAGGCATACGAACTTCGTCGGCTCGTGAGGAAATATCAAAATCGTTAAAATTGTAATCAACCGAATTGTCCCAGATTATTTTGACACCGGCCACGCCGTATGACCTAATAAACGCCACGAGTAATATTAACAAAGAATTCATTTTCGTGCCTACCTTGTAGTATCGTTGCATGCTTGAAAATATATATTTATACGAAGAAAAATTTGCATATCAGTTTAATTTTATTATGCGAACGGAAGGAACTAAATTAGAATGTAATATGTTCCTAACGATATGTATTATTTATCATTTTGATACAACGTGATGACAAATACTGACCTGAATAATTGTGAATATCGGTGACGACTGGTGAAAATTAAAAAAGTCTTACCCTGATAATCAAAATGTCTATTGCCGTTTTCAAAATTTAATTATCCTTATTCATTTTCCAAGATATATATCGGTCACTCTGTGCAGTTCGACCGATTCCATTTGGCTGGTTCCATATACCCAAACGTGAGAAAGAGTCGCATTAATAAAATATATAAAATCGCATTATTTGTGAATTGACAATTTTCCTATTTAGATTTGGTAAATTTTTGGTGGTGGTATACTACTGTGGCTTATACTTAAATTTTGAGTGTCATTTTTTATTTATCCCACTCGTTTGTTTTAGGGATATCATGAAAATTTTTGTGGCAGAGGTAATGAAAATGAAGGAAGATCTCGAATTTTATTTGCCAGAGCAGAAGATTTTATTCCATAAGAATTTATTAATAAAAGTGCACGAAGTATTCAAAACTATGCAACTGGTTTGATTATACGTTCCGATTTTATAGAAAGTTTTGCAGTTGTCACGTGCCAAAGTGTTACATTTATCTTAGTTGAAATTATTTTTGTATGTAAAAAAATGTTTATTATTTTCCAGATTCTTTTTATTTTATTCACAAATGTTTCCAATAAAACTTTTGTTAAAAATCCAAAGGGTAATTTATGTCCGAAATCAAAAATATACATCGAAAGAATCGAGATATGACAATAATTATATTTGTAGAGATATTATTTTGGATAAATAAGAATAAATTTTTATGAAATTATCAAAATTTAACAAACTATTTTCTAAAAACAATAATCCAAAAATATTGAAATTATTACCTACCGACTTGTCTTAAGAAAAATGCCATTTGATGTGCGTGTACAAAAATTTATATAGATGACGCCGTGGTTGGCCATTGTCTCTGTCGGACATATTCGATTTTCCATCTTATTTTAACATTCATATTAAAGTGAGATAAATGAATGTAGGTGCAAACCTTCTAATATACACGTATTTCATTCCTACAAATATTTAATTCCTCGTTTTATGTCCAATCTATGGTTTTAATTGCGACGTTATATTTTTATTTTGAGAGATTATTCGTTTTAACACAAAATAAGGACAATAAGAGTAAGAAAATGTAGCTCATTTGTAACCGTTTTTAATGCATTGTAATAAAAATTATTATCCAGAACGGCTGAAAAAGATATTGGTTTCTTTATTCAAATATTTTTTTACCCGTCTTACGTTATCTAACCATTGGTTTTATGCCGTTACCAGACCGTTTATCTAGGGTTCATAAATAAGAATCATTTAAATAAAAAAACATTTTCCCTCTTAAATCAACCTATCAAAGTTTTATATTTATATTCATAAATCGCCAATGCTGTTCAAATGTAAGTATTTCACAAAAAAATATTGTGATAACAGTTTATTAAAAATTACATAAAAAAGAATAAAACTCATGGTTGCATTCTTAAAGCTCCATCTAACCTAATAGTTTCTCCATTTAACATGGGATTCTCAAGAATGCTCTGTACTAATTGAGCATATTCTGCCGGGTCCCCAAATCTCGAAGGAAAAGGTACAGTCTTTTCTAAAAATGCTACCACTTTTTCCGGTAACGCGGAAAGAAGAGGTGTCCTAAATAATCCTGAAATATAGAAAATATAGCATTATTGTATTTGGTCAATAACTAAATGATAAAGAAATTACCTGGCGCAATAGTAACTACTCTTATTCCTTGGCTAGCTAAATCTCTTGCAATCGGTAAAGTCATTCCTATAATAGCGGCTTTACTAGCAGAATAAGCAGCTTGTCCCATCTGTCCTTCAAAAGCAGCTATACTAGCTGTGTTTACAATTACTCCTCTTTCCATGTACGAGTTTGTTTCATTTGACCCTATTAATCCTACTGATAGACGTATTACGTTAAAAGTTCCCACTGTGTTGACCTAAAATTAGAAATATTAATTAATTCCATTATATAATTTGCTACATACCATTAAAACTTTTACAAAATCTTCTAATTGATGAGGATAGCTCTTATTAAAATTATAAGTTTTAAATGCTACACCAATTCCTGCACAATTAATAACATAATTAAGTTTCCCAAATTTTTCTTTTGTTAATGTTAATGCATTTTTAACGTCTTCCTCCGAAGTTACCTGTAACATTAATTAGTAAAAAAGAAAAGAAATAGCCATGTTCTAATAATTACATTCACTGGTGCAAATACCACTTTGTCGTCTCCAAATATTTTAACTACCTCGTTACCCTTAGAAGTTGGTAAATCACACAAAACTACTTTGACACCTTGCTGGACCAATCTCTCCACTGTGGCTCTTCCTAATCCAGAAGCCCCACCTGTTACTAAACTTACTGCACCCTAAAAGAAATGTTTACATTTTTTATGCAATACAAACTGTATTGTTTAATGTTATGGTAACATCTTAATTAGGACTCAAATAGGAACTCGTCTAACTCTAACTTAAATCTATGGGTGTCATAACAATTATTAGTCATCGAAATTTATTCAGTTTTGAATGATCATGATAAAATTTTTCGATATTTCACCAAAATTTGACCATTCCCACCTGATTCTTACTTACAATTAATTAGTTTCTGTTATCTCTATATGCTACGAGTCGACAAAAGATTGGCTTACCTTAATCATTTCTTAAAATAAATGTAATTAAAATTTGTTTGTAAACAGCAGCTCAGCTACCCTTTCCACATAAAAAAATAATACCTACAAAAAAATCTTGTACTACATAGACTACATAAAAGTCGCAAATATTAATAATAATAATCCTATATTATTTTTTCTAGATTTGTGAATATTATTGTATATACTAGGTTAAAAAATGGAAACGCTCAGACCTCGACCCTCGATTAAACTCGAACGGTGTAACTAAATTGGCAAGATAAAGACTTTATAATCTAGGAGATAATGCAAAAGTGTGTGCCGGGCTAAATACTAAATACACATTTTATGCTGTGCAGTGTGCTGTATTTTAAATTTTAATATTATTATTATTATTATTATTATTATTATTATACACAACACACAGGGTTGCCATATTTTCTTTTAAGCTAGTAGCCAAACCAAAATTGAAAGTAGCCCAAAATAGCCTACATCTAGTAACAAAAACCGTTATTTATAATTTTTATACATTTGAAGTTTAAAACCATTCAGGTTTGAGTTTGTTCTGAGTCTGGGGACAATCCTTTTCTAGTCGTATGTGGACAACCCTGAGAAATAGAGTAACTGCTTGTTGTTCTCAAGTAAGGACAACCACAGAACATATAATACATACAAGTACAACTATGGTCGTAACAATCTAGTAGCTGCACCATGGGAAAAATTTGAGCTCACTTGAACTTAATACATGTAATTTAGCTACTACTCAACAGATGGTAGCAATAAGCTAAATCCAAAGTCCCTAGAATCTAAGCATTTTACTAAAGGCTTCCAAATCCAAACAGTTTACAGAATTCATAGCTTAAATATACGGTTAAAATAATAAAATAATAAAATAATAAANCAATCATAATACAGCATTTTTAAAATTCTTAATTATGATTGGTTCTTTACTGATTTGAATCACTTTGTTCAATACGAAAGAATACGCGTATTGAAAATTAGGTCACAAAGGGGATGTGTTCTGTGGATTAGGTTTGAGGTTATTTCTTCTCTATGTTGTATTATGACTAATTAACTCGTAAGTAACCGCGCTAGTGCTTTTCATAATAATTGTTTTCTATTTTAGACTAAAATTTAATGTAACGCAAGAAGCAAGAAGATAATTATAATTGTTGAATCGTTCATCTGAATTGTCTTATTGTTTTTGCTTGTTTTAATTTTGAATAGAAAATGTCTGGAATGATCTCACATCACTGTTGTGCACCAAACTGCAAGAATACATATTATTTATATACCACAGATACTTTTTACAGAAATAAAAGCTTTTTCAAAGTTACTGCAGGCAGGGAAAAGATTTGGATAGAATCAGTTCGCAAATTATGTAAACCAGATTTTAACTTCATCAACGAAAATTGTTATTTTTGCGAAGACCACTTTGAATAAAATGTTTTAGAAATAGTAGGAAGAATAGCCTCAACAAAAGTGCAGGCCAACAATATTTTGTGAATCAAATAGTTTATCCTCACATTTAGATTCTCTTAATAGTAACATTTACTTGAAAACTACTCTAAAGTCAGTTAAACAGTTTGTTAGTGAAACATTAGAAAATGCCGAAATTAATAAATGCCAAACATCGATGTTAGATGATTTTTCAGAACCACCATTTAAAAAACCAAAATACACTTATTCCAAATTGCCATCTCTAAATACCATTGCAAGTACTAGTACTGTTATTGTTGACGACGCCATGCCGGATGAAGTAGATTCAAATACTGGTTGTGTAAGTACTTCACATAATACTTCATTTTGTCAAAACTTCACTTGTAAGTCGAATAGTAGACAACAAAAATCACTTTTAAAATCTCTCGATGTAAAAAGAGTGTCTCAACTTTCAGATAAAAATAAAAAGTTGTATTATTTAGACCGTAAACAAAAAAATCAGATTTTAAAATTAAAAACCAAATTATTAAAGTGTAGAAATAATTTGTCCAATGTTTGTAATATCACTTATTCAAGGTTATTCACAGATTT